TTACTCGGCACACCACTATCAAAAGGTGCACCACGACCAGATCCACTGGAACCACGCAAGCTGTTCAACTACTGCGTAAGCTGTTTGTAATATTAACAAGCCTAAGAGAATTACTGGTCGTGTTCTGATGAATAAATTATTCAGTTGGAATCAGCCAACTATTTTAAGATATCTTAATATTGTATGCAGCATTTTAATCTTCACAAATAGAGATATGGAGTGAGCGTTTACCTTCCGTAGTTTCTATTATGTCATTTCTGAATTTTATATCTCATCGGACCAGCCCAACCTGCTTGAATCTCCGGCATTTTACTGCCACCAACTCCAACCGTCTCCTCATCACCTGTCACGTCAGATCTTATGCCGCCAATGGGGCTGCGGACACGGACACGTCCATTCCCTCCTGTCGAAACAGTGCGCCTGTGGTGCCTGGAGCCTGCTCTTCTTTTTGCACCCACAGGGGAGCCACGAGACCTTGAAACATCCGTTCTTCCTACCTTACTGGTGAAGGGCCCGAGAAAGCCACTGTTTATTCTCGAGCCAGGAGGAGGTCGATCCCTACCGAAGAATCGAACTCCTTCGATGCCATGCGGTGGGTTGTAGTCGAAGTAGCCTCCAGTCCCAGTAGACGGATTGTAACCCCCAGAGCCCGCAGCCCCTCCGATGCTACCAGATAGATTGTAACCAACGTAGCCTCCCGTCCCAATAGACTGATTGTAGCCGCCAGAACTCTGAACCTCTGCGATGCCATGCGGTGGGTTGTAGTCGAAGTAGCCTCCAGTCCCAGCAGACGGATTGTAACCGCTAGAGCCCGCAACCCCTCCGATGCTACCAGATAGGTTGTAGCCAACGTAGCCTCCCGTCCCAATAGACTGATTGTAACCTCCAGAACTCTGAACCTCTGCGATGCCATAAGGTGCGTTGTAGCCAACGTAGCTTCCAGTCCCAATAGACGGATTGTAGTTACTGGTGCCCCCAATCACTCCGATGCCACCTGATGCGTTGTATCCAGGGTAGTCGCCAGTTGCAATATATGGATTATAACCGCCAAAGCCCCCAGCTCCTCCGATGCCGCCAGAGGGTGCGAATGCGTAGAAGCACTGTGACCGTCCTATGCCATTAGACAGCCCGGAGCTATTAAAGCCTACTGGTTGAAATCCGAACATGTTCATTTGTGACGATTACAGGTGAATGCGTCTGTCTTCTTGTTGACTTTTTAGAAAATGCATGTTGTGCAAAAAAATAATTGTGCGGTTTGTAAAAGATAGAAAATGGCGATGCAGAGGTAAATAAACGTAATGAAATCGTTGCGATACCATCATAGCTAAATCGTCCAAGCGAAATACTTCTCTACTTTTCATCCCTTTTTTTCGATTGCCCATACACGTCACATGCTGTGATGTGTATAAATTATATTTCAGGTAAACTTATACTCTTCTCTTGTTTCTTTAACGGTGCATATTCAACATCACACATACAAGCACAACACAAGAAAGATACGATTTTTCCTAACCACACTTAGTTTAATTATCTATACAGTTTTATACAGTTAGAATAATGAATGGATCTAGGATGTTCGATAGCAACAACCACCTTGGAGACGTTAGCAGCTTATGGCTCTAGTGACACCCTCAAAGTCTCTGATAGGATGGATGATGCGGGGGAGTGGCCGACTGTTTAGAATGTGAAGACTAATAACTGAGAAAGAACGGTAATGTAGGAGACATATCAAAATTTGAAGTTTTTTTTCTAGAGAAGGTAGTCTCGAGAACTTTTACATATTTGGAATCAGAGAGACTTTCTCTACTGTGGTTTTTCACGGTATATTACACTATATTCAACAGTAGACATTACTATGTCGCTTTTTTTCCGTTCTTTTTTATGTTTCATTTTTCTTTGCTTTGATGTTTTTCATTCTATGCGCACTACAGAGAGAGATATAAAGCAGGAAATGAAGAAAAAGCACAAATTTTATCATTTTATCTAGAAGAAAGATTGCACTCACTATGAAATCAGTATATATTCTGGCAACCTCCCATATTAAAAGGTTAACAAATTTGAAGGTACTTCTCTCCAGTTTTTCTGGTAGTTTGAAGTACACAAGTTGTACTCTATATTGTAATAGCTATTTTTTGAATAAAGATCTCTTTTAGTTTTTAAGATATAGACCCAAGGCGGAAAAGACGGACTCCAGCCACTCCGCGGAGTAAAGCACACTCCACCATACTCCGGCACTCCGTACAATGGATCGGAGTGGCGAAGTACGTTGTTTTCTTAGAATAAAATAGTGATATTTCTCTCAATATCTTCAAAAAAACAGAACAATCCTGTTCTTTTGTTGGGAATATTTCCCTGACAACGGGGCAGTTGTGTTCTGTTCTGTGAATTCTTTTCCCACAGATAGAACCTTTTGTTCTGCTTGTGGGAACAGAGATTTCTAGGACAGTTCAGTTCGGTAAGGTTTCCTTAAGCCAATGGCACTACGAACCACTCCGGGCACTACGGCATTCCACGGAGTGGAGGAGTGCGCTTTTCCCCCTTGTATAGACCTCTCAATTTTCTTCTCAATCTACTAATTTATCCTTGGTCATTTCTCGATATAACTCTCAATATCCGTTATTGACGGTTAAAAAGTCATCGTTTCTTCTTTCGCATTCAGTAGTTAGATAAACTCTTTTTGACAGCCATGACATGACGTTCAGACTTTCTCTTCGAGTGATGCTAGTCAGAGCTGATGTATATTTAAATTTAAATTATTGGATAATCAGATTAATTTTTCTTATTCCAAGATAAGTTGGGTTCAAGGAGTTTTAAGTTAAGACACTAGTTCTCGTATCAATCTCTGTCTCTGCTGATAACAATCAGAAATGCGTCTTATAACAGTTTCGATTATTACTCTGTCAAGACACTATCTTGTTTCTTTCAATTTTTAATGCAATAACTGAACTCCTTTTATTTTAGATAATTTGGGGTACGATGGATTTAGGTGTTAATTCCAAAATCATCGAGGAAGGCTAACGTTCATCAACTACTCTTGTTGTTATTGTTGGATTGCATGAAATTCGCTGCCTCTTCGAGTAATACTGCTATCTGTTCAACACTTTCTCCCATACTCACAATTTTTTGAATGATGATAGAGAATATGAGATTATAATAATACAAGGTGTGCCAAAACTCCACCGGGAATTAAACATGAATATCTTCCTCATTGCTTAACTTCAAAGTTTTGTTATCTGTTGAAAAATGGAATGTTTTAAGTTTTTTCTAATATGTTTCGAAATTTTTGTTAAGGCTTGAAAAATGTTCGGGTTTATTATGGTGAAATTCAGGATTTGGAATAAATTATGTACTGCAACACCTTTTGAATGAAAAATAAATGATTTTTAATATTGAAGTGACTTAGATATTTTCTCATTTCACATAACAAAATAATTATTGGCTTTGTTCAAAAATGACGGGATGGTGTAGATTTCCTCGACCGATATTGTTTCATACTAGCATGTAAGAAAATGTAAAAATGGGATCAAATTTTTTCAGATCCAATTAACTAACAAAAGGAAAACATACTAATGCTTTCCACAAGGGAGGCATGCACCGAGTAACGGATTAAGGACTTTATATTTTTTTCAAAACCTGGCGTTTGGTAAAATGCTTCGTTAAAAATTTTCTAACTCGGTAGGAATGTAGAGCAAACATTTCTCTAAAATATGAGAGGTTGGACAGCTCTGTACGACTATGTCAAGAACATACAATCGACTAGCAAACGAGTATCGAGTACTCGATTAGTCCCTTCTGAAAACAGTGCTGCCAAAATCTCAAAACAAATCGTACAGAGCTATTCAACTTCTCATTTTTTCCACGCTCTACATTCGTACAGAGTCAGAAAATTTTTAACGAAGCAATTTACCAAACGCCAGGTTTTCGAAAAAATATAAAATCTTTAGTCAGTAGCTCGGTGCATCCATGTCACAAAGAACGTATTTAAACAAGAACAAATTTTAGCGTTTTATCAAAAAGAAAAATTCCCTTCTCTATGAAATTAGTGTTTATTCTAGCAACTTCTCAGATTAAAAAGCTGACAAATTTGAAAGTACCTTTCTCCAGTTTTTCTGCCAGTTTGTAGTACACAACTTGTACTCCATAACATGCTATTTTTTAGAAAAAGATACCGTTAATTTACGAGTTATAAGTGTGCCAATATCACAACTGAACGTATGAAAAAGTAGGTATCTACTCCAATATAACAGTCAAATGAGTTTTCAGAGAGCTGTCTGAATTACCATGACTTTCCGGTTTTCTCTTC